GAAAGAGTTATGTATAACGTTGTATATATATGTATTATGTAATGATGTAATACTGTTATGTACTGTTATGTTAATTACTTATGTAATTATGTAATTTTGTAATTTTTGAAATCAAATAAACTATATTAATACAAAACATCTTTTGATTGAATATACCCATCCATTCCCACACATCTTTGTCGTGCCACAAATACCTCTTTTTGTTAATTATACATTTTCTTGATACGTTTTTGCCAATTTTTTATTCTTGGAATTTCTGAAACTGCATTACTTGGAATCAAGTATCAGGAGAACATAATTAGCAAGAAGGTGGTACAAACTAAAATTTTAAAAAGCGCGAAAATTTGAAGCTTTGAAATGCGCAAAGGTATCAGGAGAACATGATCAGCAAAGAAGTGGCATAGAATATCTAGACTTAAAACACATTTGATATCTTAGACTTAAAACATATTTGATAAAAGTTTTTTTAATCTGTATTTCTCACTGATTTATTACATTATTTTTACCTATAAATGCATTGTTATATCATGTTATATATATACAAAAAAAAAGGGCGTATCAGGAGAACATAACCAGCAAAAAGGTGGCACAAACTAAAATTTAAAAAAGCGCGAAAATTTGAAGCTTCAAAATCCGTAAAAGTATCAGGAGAACATGATCAGTAAAGAGGTGGCGTATCAGGAGAACATAACCAGTAAGAAGGTAGCACAAATTAAAATTTTAAAAAGCGCGAAAATTTGAAGCTTCAAAATCCGCAAAAGTATCAGGAGAACATGATCAGTAAAGAGATGGCGTATCTGGAAAACATAACTAGCAAGGAGGTGGCACAAACTAAAATTTTAAAAAGCCCGAAAATTTGAAGCTTTGAAATATGCAAAGATATCAAAGGTTTTTTTTTTTTTTTACGAAGGAAGAGAAAAATGCATTATGCATCCCCACCGGCCGGTCCGGTGGGGTATGCGGGACTCGCACCCGCTAAAAAACTCTCCCTGCAGAGCCAAACTTTGGCTTTCCGCTGATATTTACACAAATTTAAATTTTGAGATAAGCAAGAGAGATAATACAAACAAAAACTTCAAAAATTGAAATTTTAAAAACTCCAATTTTATTTACTTTTTTCATTTATAATATAGTGAAAATTATTATCTAAAAATTAATTGTTCTTACAACTCATCTCTGAATTTTCATAAATAATTACTATACAATTTATAAACACTTAAGGAGAAAAAATCCATATTTATATAACTATATGTGAAATATATCCATATATATATATATTATATATACAAAAAAAAAAGTATGATTTATCTTAATTTATAAGAGTATCTCTCTCTCTCTTTTGTAGACCACGTCTATCTTTTTTGCAGATGTGCGCCTACACAGGTGCAACACGTGCTACTCTTGAAAAGGCATTATAAAGATCAATTTCTTTTCATGCAGTCGCGCGTTGTAAATATTGACAATGCTACAAAAAAGCTACAAAATGCAATGAATAAAGTGAGTGAGTGGACTAAACATTGGCGTATCAATCTTAATGAGACAAAATCCACCCACATAAATTTTCCACTCAGGAAAACAAACCATTTATCCATTCTAATTAACGAATTGACTATACCGTATGCAAATACAGCTAAATATCTGGGGATGATCTTAGATGCAAAATTGAAGTGGAAGGAGCACATTAAAAAGAAAAAGGAAGAGCTTAATATTAAATATAGAAAACTGTATTGGCTCCTCGGTCGAAATTCGGAGCTATCAGTTCAGAATAAGATTTTGATCTATAACATTTTAGAAATACTTAAATCTGCCTGGACGTATGGTATCCAGATATGGGGATGTACAAAGAGAGCTAATATAGAAATAATCCAAACTTTCCAGAATAAGGTACTGCGAGGCATAGTAAAAGCCCCATAGTATATTCACAATAGTGATCTACACCGAGACTTACACATCAACTTAGTTAAAGACGCTATTAAAGAAAATGCAATCAAATATAACGAACGTCTACAAACACATGAGAATATCGAGGTGAAAACTGTACTAGATACAGACAATAATTTACGTCGGCTCAAAAAGATTAAACCATTTGAACTGGCTAAATAAATCACATAACGCATAACCGATAGGGAAATTATACATTAATAATATTCCTATACACGTGTAACTCAATAAGATAGATATGTGGATTGGTATTGATTGTTGAATATATATATATAAAAAAAAAAAATTTCTTTTCAATCAAAATAAAATGAAATACTGGTTATTTTTTCCTATAATTCTATACTTAACAGTTTTAAAGAAATTTGATAATATAAAATTGCATTTTAGTATTAGATTTTCATACGATTAATCGTTAATTGTACATCTTTAATTTTATTTTAATTATAGAATAATATGAAATGAACAGAGCTAATATATATAATGTAAATAGTAGAAACGGTAATGATAAGTTCTCAATAACGGCAGTAGAAACAGATTATGTCGATCGAACGGTATTCAGTAGAATAAATGTAAAATTATATATATAGCTCCTTGATATTAATATTTCTTCATCTTCATAAAATGTATAAATCATCTTTTATAATCATAAAACATGATATTTTTAAATTATTTATTATTTCTATATTAATAAAATAAAATAACATTGTTAAAAATTGACGTAAAATAATAATGTTATAAATTAAAAATAAAAATTCTTAATCTCTTTCTTTTTCTCAATTATTCGCCGAAATTTTACTTGCTTTTACTATAAATAATCCTTGTTTAATATGTATATATATGTGACGCTCGTAAATTAAAGATAAAATCTTCCAAATCATAATGAATAAAAAAATTTCTTACAAGATGATTTGATACATAAAACTGCGTATACGCGGAGATGAAGACTGAGGAGTAAGGAGGGAGAAAAGAGTCATATTTGTGTCGACATCGTATAGAAGAGACATTATGTAGGGTCGGATCGCAAACTGGTAACATCCGCCAATCAAATCTGTCTATCTATATGTGTGACCTGGCCTAGAATCGAAAGCTTCTATGCTGAAGAGACAGTAATTTATCTTTGCACAATGAAAAGATCGCGCTGCATCGCGTTCGGTATATTATGCATATAGGGCATAGGGCATAGAGAGCATTTCGGACGCATTGTTGATTTAACAGAAGAAAGAATCGCGTTTTTTTTAATTCAAGAAGTTGAATTAAAAATGCAGTTTAATTCAACGAAAGATGAGATTAAGCTATAAACTATAACGATCATCAAACGCTCTCAATTGCTGAATCATAAAATTTGCGCCATTTCCTATCTCTCATGCAAAATATGTATCAGGCGTTGTACAAAATTGTAGCGACATTTAATTATATTTTTATATCGAAACTAAATATACATTAAATATACAGATCCAGTATCGATCTGTATAGCGCGAGGGCGGCGGACGAGAATCAGAGAGAAGGAGAGTAGCTCGCGACCTGCTCTCGAATCACAGCTTCCAGAGGGACGCACAGCTTCCATCTCCGTCTCTCCCTCGGCCTCTGGGATTCTATACTTCATCCCGATCCCCGACCGACCATCCACATCCACGCCTATCTCTCTCTATCTCTCTCTTTTTCCCTCTTGTCTCCGACGTTCAGTCGCACCCTCGCCTCGCGCGCGGCGCGCACTTCGCACGCTCGTCAGTCGACACGCGCCGGAAACGTCGTCGGCAAAGGGAGCACGCACGCAACATCAGCAGCAGTAGCCAGTAAGGAGAGAGATCCGCGAAGTGATATAAGGACAAGAGGTTCGAGGGATATCACAAGAATGAGGCTCCTCGCGGTCGTCGTGGCTTTTCTCCTTCAGGCGTGGATCGTCTCATGCGGGGTACGTGCAAAAAAGAGCGGTGGTGGTGATTTGATCGAGACATGATCTAAAAATATAAAAATAAAAAAGATATAAAAGATATAAAAATATAAAAAATATAAATATAAATATGAAGAGAAAAATTTCGGTGGAATAATTGATGTAGAAAATTTATTGTCTATTTAGTTTTTGTAAAGTTCTCTAAAATCAAAAAGCTAGAACCAAAATTGTATCTCTAACTCGATAGGGATGGACAGGGATGAAGAAAGAGTTTGTTTTTTTATGACTATCCATTGCGGATGGCCGGGGATAAACCGCGCGGTCAATAACACGATATTTTCTTTAGCACTGTTAAAATAATCGTTTTTGTTTTTGTTAAAGGCAAAGAGAATTTGAATTCTTCGTCTAGTATGAGTGTTTCAAATCCAAAAAAATTACTTTTTTTTATATTTTATCTTTTTGTGTAAAAATCACAGAAAATAATTCTAATAAAAACGTTTAAAAAAAAACGATATTGAAATAATTATAAAAATAATTAAATACTTAAGGTGAAAAATAAATAAATATAGATAAATATAGATAAAATTTAAATAACAACAAAAGGATGTAATTACATTTACAATGATGTTTTTTTCTCGCTATATTTTGATATAAATTTAAAATGTCGGTTTATATAGAGACAGTGTAACTTGCTTGAAAAAGCGCTTATCGCGACTACAACTTATCAATTTTAATTTTAATAGCACTAATTTTGTCTATTTTACAGACGAGACCCAGCTTTGTTTCCGATCAGATGATCGCGACTGCGGCCAGTGTCGTAAACGCCTGTCAAACGCAAACGGGAGTTGCTACAGGTATTTTATTCAACGCGAGAGAGTTTGTTGACCTCCCCCAACTTGAAACTATCGATCGAATCTTTTATTTAATCGCGCGGCGGCGCATAAAATTGTATATACGTATATTTTTTTATCTAAAATTAAATTAATATAAAAAATTCAAAAAAATTAATGGATGCTTAAACCAATTTATCATTTCACGTATCCACAATAGTTTTACAAAATTTATGACAAAATATGTGTATACGAAATATATCAACGAATGCATATTTAATCCTTCTTTCAGCCGACATAGAAGCGGTAAGAAACGGTCAATGGCCGGAAACACGTCAATTGAAGGTGAGTACGCATAAATTGCCAATTATATTTGACTGCAAACAAATCTCGTGTATAGCCGACGAAAATATGTAAAAATATCTAAGACTTGTAAGACGCCAAAGGGTAATAAATCCGGTCTTTCTGATTTCCGCGCACAGTGCTACATGTATTGTCTCTGGGAGCAATTCGGTCTGGTCGACGACAAGAGAGAGCTAAGTCTGAACGGTATGCTGACATTCTTCCAAAGAATACCTGCCTACAGAGCTGAGGTCGAAAAGGCGATCAGCGAGTGCAAGGGGCTCGGTAACTATTTGGGTATCTACTGTGTTTCCTTTTTCGTTTGTTTCCTCGATCGATTGCGTGTGCTCGAAACTTGGGACCGCGTTAAATCTTTTTTTTTTAATTAAATTTTAGTTCATTAGCAATATATTTCAAAACTGAGGGCATTCTCAGAGCTAACGAGGGTGAACTTGACAGATCAAGAGGTAGATGTTTTTAATAATACATTTCAATCATAATTAGATTAAAAATGATCTAAAAAAACTCTCGATGTTAGTGCAAGCTTCTTCAGTTTTGAAGATGTCAATCGCAGTTATTTTAAATGTGTGAACTTCTCTTAAAATAATTACAAAATTTTATTTGAGTTGTTTAATTTCGATTACACACGATCCTTCGTATCGCGTCTCATGAAACGATTAATTGCCAATTATTTCTCTGTTCGCAGCGAAGGGTGATAATTGCGAGTACGCGTACACGTTCAACAAGTGTTACGCGGGATTGTCTCCGAGAGTAAGTGACTTTAAATCATACCAAATTGACTAAATCATATACTATTGGTATTCGTTATCTCACGCGTGATCTGTGTTTCAGACTTACTATCTGTTTTAATGGATCGTGGGAGGACAACGGCAAACAAGAAGACCAAAAACAAAATGCTCAAGATACAATTTCGCCGAATGTGTTGAGATTTTTAGGTTTAAACTACTTTCCCATGTAACTGCTGTACGCGCCGTATTAAGTAAATCATACATGATGTGTCGATGAAATAAAGGATTCGATCTAATCGATGTATCCTATATGGTTCTGTTTTTTACATCCTTTTGTTGCCCGCCGCAAAGCATGAATCGACTTTTCAAGAGAAGTAATTTAAAAAAATTCAAATTTTTTTCAAAAATTACGATATTAAAAAAATATTTAAAAAAGAGACTTATATAAAATATATGTAATTTACATAAAGTATCCAATAGAATGTTTGGCAGATGTGATTGATATAAATTGATGGCGCTCTCGTTGATAAAACGGAGTTTGATATTGCGATAGTAGAACGCTCCAATTGTCGAGGTCATATTTGATGATCGAATGCAATGAAAGGAGAGATCTACAACTATAACACACTTGAAACATTCATTCACAAACGAGTCCTTTGTGACGATCGGTGTAGAAATAGCGTTGCGGCTTGTGCATGTTCAGCCAGTAGAAAAGCTCCGACACTGAGCGGACAGGATGTGAACTTTCCGATGATACTAGCAGCATAAAAGAGAAAAAGAGAGGAATTATCATTATTATTATATTATTATTATTTATCAGAAAAAACAAATTTTTTAAAATAATTTATTAATGGCTTTTGACTGATTAGTCGCAAAAATCTTATGCGATATTAAAATTGTGTAAGATAGATATTGTGTACAATCTCACATAACGCGAAGTTACACAACGCACGGGATTGCTCTCTGTGCGACTGTAATTAAAAGGAAACGTTTGATTTCAGGCGGTATACAATATTGCAGTATACACTGATCTGGATATCAGGTGTATATTATTATGAGAAATACTGAAATTACTTACTCTCCGCGGAACACGAAGAGATTATTGTTAATTACTTAGGAAGCATTGGATATACTTTGACTAAGTTACAATTATACGTATGTTTACCGTCACGCATCTCGCTTGCGGCTGGCGCGCATTATATGTATACAAAGTATATCACAAATTCTTCTTGGAATTTCAAACAATCGCGAGCTTTTTCCTCTTTTAAATTTGGATCCTTTCAAATTTTCTTCACCAAGAATCTATCAAGAATAATGAGAGATACCAATCATTTTAATAGAAGCTCCTAATTCTCTGTAAAAGAAGAAATAATAAATATGTAATCTTAAGATTGAAATATTTAGTATAAGTTTTTTGAAATATTTTTTCGAAGAAAACAAATTTCATAATTAAAACTGTAAATAAAATTTTATTATGTATAACATTTATTCTCTTTGAATTTCCGATGTTTAATTAATTTCTTTGTTGTTCGTACAATCCGCCGGTAGTTGATTTTTAGGGAGGTATGTCTTTGCCAGCTGATTATTATCTCCCACCTAATGCCCGGAGGATTCGTATAAATTCTCGATGATCTTACGAAGCTGCGCACTTAGTAATTTTAGGCGAGTGAGAGAACATTTTTGGCTAAATACAATTCAATTGTGTGTGCGTGAAATAAAAAAAATGATGAATGAAAATTTAATACTTATCTGTGCCTCTTTAATCGTCACGCAACTCGTCGTAGTTCATTGTAATGACGACGTGAGTATAAATCTAATTTTTAAATTTATCAGAAATCTTCGCGGTCGCTGAAAATAATATTTTTATAGAATATAGATTGGACTACTGTTCACGATGAGTTGAGAAAATTGGCTGGAAATCTGCGTAAGAAGTGTACCGGTGAAATTGGCATAACAGAAGGTGAGTTCTAAAAAAATCATATTTAATTAACAAATGATTTTATTCTCGTTAATAAAAGAAATGATGAAAAAATTATTTAATATTTATTGTGAATGATTTGCTCCATCTTCCCTCTCTTCCTATCTAATCTATTATATCTAATATATTATCTAATATATTAATTTAATATATTAGATTATTTAATATATTATCTATCTTATCTGTGTATCTAATTTACGTTAGATCATCTGATAATATTAACAATTTTAATCGCAGATGTATTAGAAGAGGCAGAATTAGGTACCTTCCCAGAAGAAAACAATAAATTGGCATGTTACTTCAAGTGCGTTATGGAAAAGGGAGGAGTGGTAAGACAAGTTTCTTAAAAAATATAAAAATAATAATACGGACCGAATCGCTTAACTTTGATTTTTGTGATTTAGATGAAAAAGGATGGCAAGATCAATTATAAACTTTTGGGAAAAATGATGCCGGCGGCATACAGGCACATTGGACAAGAGATGCTCGACGAATGTCGCGATATAAGTAAGTATTAGCTTTTATCAAGACAAAAACGTTGATATTAATGTGCAAGTCACATTGCATTATTGTAGAACTAGAAAAATTATTATATATAATTATTATTGTATAATATAATATGTAGGATACTTCTGCAATATATACATTGAAGCTGCATTAAATAATAATCATCTAAATAAACAATTGCATTAAATAATAATACACCTTCATTACTTGAGTGATTAAAATTAATGTCTTATTCTTACACAATCACCTTTGTGATTTTTAGGTGGTAAAGACAAGTGTATCATAGCTCTCGACTTCAACAAATGCATGTACAAGGCAAATCCAGTGGTATGTAAGAAAATATGGTATACACTAATTTCTAATATTTTAATGCTATGTATTATATCTCACTGCATTTCTTTTCAGGCATACTTTGTCATCTAAATATTGATAATGTAAAGGAATAAGAACCCAGAGTATTATCCATAAGTTTAACAAAATAAAGTACTGAAAAATTTTTGTTTTATATTCTTCGCATTCTTACACACACATTTATTTGCAAGATAAAGTAAAATGCTTGTTTAAAAGAGTAAGAGTTGAATAAAAATTATTTATTCCATATTATAAGAATTAAAGTAAGAACGTTTAATAACAATTTATAGATTGTATTATACAATAGCAATCTTTGTATATACATATATTTTATATTACTTACTGATGTTAACGATTTTTACGTATCTCTGACGACGTAGCGGGATCGTGATTATCTTCGTGGATAATGCTTGCATTTTAATATTTTACATTCAAATATTATTTTTTCTTTGATCAAGTAACGTCGCCATTTTAATCTGTCTATATATATAAATACTAATAGTTTCAAATATACCAAATATCGAAATAATCTTTTTTCTAAGATGCGCACACATACACAATCGTCGTTACAAATATTACTAACAAACAAACTTCTGATAGTCAGGTATATAAAACACGAATGAGAGATATAGGATCTTTACCTCTTCAATAATTTTCTTTTGAGATCATCAGAAATGACACTGAATATGCGACAAGTGATGGAGCTGATGATGCCAACAAGATTTATATCTTTCGCGGCTTCGCCTTCCTCTTGTTAATATTCATTATTTGCTCGACTATAATATCGTCCGCTCTAGGATCAAGGGGAATAGCTTGAACGGGTGCTCTCGAGCTTGGCACAGGCTTGGAGCGTCTTTCGAGCAGCGCGTTCAACCAAGTCCACAATTTCTCGCGATTGACAAATGCCAATCCAACCAACATAATGAACGGCAGTGCAACTACCGATGTTTGATTCATGTCGCTTTGATCGACCTTCCGCTCCGCATTAAATGTCAGCTTAATGTACTTAAACGATGAGTTTGCCTCAAAGTAAACCGGAATGGTTCGATATTTGTGCACGGCTTGCGATAACGATGATTCCAATTGCACAAAGTATTTTCTGCCATCAGCATGCAACGGCGGGAAATGCACCAGGAAACCGGCATTGTAATTACCGGTGTTCTTACTGGCAGATTGTTGCACGTCCAGTTTCGAAATGTGCACTGGCGAGTCCGGAGCGTCCTCCCGACACAGTTTTACCTTAATCGTGCGATAGTGTTCCGGCTGGGCGGACGTGACATGCACCGAGACGTCCGTACGCGAGATCGGATGAAAGGCGATCAATCGTAGGCCGTGAATGTCCTCCTCCATCGGCTGCATCAGTTGAGAACTGGGACTCGTGCGCTGTATATGAGCGTTACTTTCTACGTTCGGCTTCAAACGGAAGGCATAGGTGCACTATAAAATTATTACGTAAATTGTTATGCAATGCTCGTCAAATAATTAAAAACAGTCATTATAAAAATGTAAATGAATGAATTATTTACCGTGGGCTGGAGACCACGGATTCTGAAGTTGCCATTCTTCTCGGTCGTGGCCTCCTCTTGGAGATTGGAACAATTCCCTTGACCCTGAACCTCGACTAACAGACCGACTTCCGGCTCTCCGTTCAAGGACGTTACGGAGCCGTAAGCGCTATACGCGACTCGATTACCGAAAAGATTTACTTTAACAGTCGCTCCCTCTACAACGTTGATCATCTTCGATGGCGGATCGAAGCGATACTCCTTCATCATAGGTCGAAGATAATACTCGCCCGGAGATAGCGAATGAAATATGAACTTTCCGTCCTCGCCAGTTATACTGTTCTTGCGATAACTTTGACCGCCAGACAAAGAAAGCAGCACACCCTGTATAAGTATGGCGTTAGTTACATATATATACATATATTTTTTTTTTGTTACTTTGACAATCTTTGAAAATACCTGCAACGAAGAGCTGTCAGCATGATCAGAAACTTGCACGATAATTTCAGCCAACTTGTGTGCTAGAAACACTCCTTTAGCATCAGGCCCAGTAATCACAAAACCCTCCTTCTCAGCTGTAACACTAATACATAGCAGGCAATTATTATATAATTTATTGATGATAATAGAAAAATAAAATTATTCTCTTGGCATACCTATATTCAATTTTTCCATCCAAAGGGCCAATGCTGTAAGTACCATCCTTCTGTGTAACTAATGTGTGAATCGGAGACTTCTTATCTTTTCCAAATATTTGAATTGTTACATCTTCCAATGATGGAGATATTTTTCCGGCTATAATCTGAATAATATTTTTACTTCAATTTTTTTACTGTGAAATATATATATATGTATATATTTATCTCATTAGTTTTTTTTACCTTTCCTAAATCACCAATAAAACTTGCAATGTCATTATGACAATCATTCACGCCAAAAACTTTTAAGGATGGTGGGTTGAATAGCAAAATGTCAGATAATGGGGTGATAGTGTACGTGTTATCCGTTTTTGCTTTAAATTCAAATTCATATTTGTATACATTGTCTTTTTTAACAAGTTTCAGTGGACCAATCCTATCAAAAAATGAATTAATGCAAATAAAGATATATGCACTATGTCCAAAATCAAATGAACGCAATGCTAATGTTATTCAAATATAATGAAGTAGAAAAAGATATCTAAAGTAAGACGATTCATCAAGATAAATGCTGAGCTACTTACGTGACGCTGTCGCCTGCGTCTTCGATTTTTACTTTGAGATTACTCTGCGCGCTCGTGCATATAATATTGCCTCTGTGAGTATGCTCGGTGGAATGTAGCAAGATGGGGGAAAGATTGCTCGTGTCCCAAATGTAAGAAGACTTGTCGTATACATGGCAACCTTTTGGTACAAAAGTGTATGCACCAGATTTAGGCACACAATGTCTCGTACTGCCTTTGGTCAGGGGTAAAGTGATCACTTTCGTGTTATTTGGTTCGTTATATTCTACGGCGGTATCGTGAGAAGATATGAAAGTGATGGAGAAGCCGGTTTGCTTAAAAGGCGGCACTTCCGCGCGTTCCGACGTTATCGAGATTCTGTAACTGGGATTTTCCCAGCAAAACACATCGTTGTCAATCAAGACTTCATAGTGGCCGGGTAACACGTCAGTGAACTGATATTGACCATCTGCGTATTGAAAAACGACTTTAAAAACAGGAAGGGTAGTATCATATCGAAATAAAAAGACAATACTGCAATAACAAATAATAGGTATGTAATAATACAATAAGTATTAGTTAAAACCAAGCTAACTGCCAAACTTATCGCAAAGTAAGTTCAATTTATTCAATTGAACAGATTATTTTTATTTTACAAAACTATATTTGTTATTGCAGCATAAATTATTACATTGCTGAAAAAAATCGATAATAATTAAAAAGAATGTTTATTATCTCACCTTTGGCTTGTACTGTCTTTATTGTAACGCCATCGAGTATTTTTAATGTGACAGAAGCTTGACTGCAATCTGTCTGTGGCAGACAATTTACTGTCCCTGTTAATGTGGCCTTCAATTGCAAAAAGTTTACATTGGTAATTGGTTGAGATGTCACATCAATCGTTTGTTGCAGTGGATAGAATCTGAAAAAAGATAATGAAGCATTTACATATAATTCGTTATAATTTTATAATCCATTGTTATATCTTGTTTTATTTTTACTCACTGCAAGCCTTTAGTTTTTTCTTCCGTGCTCACAATTACGCTCAGCTGATATTTATCCGGTGCAAGATACACAGAGTATTCTCCTGTTTTTTCATTGGTGTTGAGCTCTTTATAGAATGTAGCGGCTGTATTCTGAACTGATAGTTTACGAAAATGCAAAGTGTCCTTCGCGGAGAGTGTTACTTTTCCCGAAACTTTATACGCTGAGGGTATTAGCACCGGAAGCTCAGGCGAAGTCGGCGAGATTTTAACCGTCTTCTCGCTAAATTGTACATTTGCTGGAACGAATAACTTTTCGATATAATTTCAATGAGTCATTTTGTTTAAAAGTTTTGGTAAGAAAAATTTTATGTACCAGACTCCGCTCTGAGTGTATACTGGCCGGCTTTCATATTATCCAATACATATTTTCCATTTTTATCCGTGATTGCAATTTCTTTTTGCGACAAGAATATCTTTGCTCCAGGCAAAGGATCGCCATTCGTCGAGCTATAAACAAGACCGCCGACCGTGAAACCGGTTACCTTAAAATCTTGAGCGAGGATTACGCTGTTGTGGCTAACTTTAAAAGACAATTCCGACGGTTGAACGTCGAATTTCGTTTGAGCGCCGGCATAGTGCGGTACAAGTTTGTAATCGCCAGGTGATACACTGGGAAATATAAATCTACCACTATTATTTGAAGTCACATAACAAAGCGGTTTCTTCGTTTCGAAATCCTTAGCTATCGGGGTAGTCTCACACTTCTCCACGAAACCACTCTATTGTAAGAGAAAAAGTTAATCTTTCATTAATTTTTATTAATAAAACACATCCTAGAATTTAAATTTGAAAATATAAACCATTAAATATTAAAAATGATAATAAAAAGAAGACAAATCTTACGCCAAAAAGGATGAAGGATACACCAGCCACTGGGTCATTTTCACTGCTAACTTTGCCACTCACATCGTATCCAGATACCACTAGGCTACCGTCCGCGACTTCTGTATTTCCTTCTTGTACAATCACTTCAACTTTATTTTTGTTTATTATCCAGCTAATAAAAACAATTAATTATTTTCTCAGTTTGTAAATATCTTTTATCTTAAAATAAATTTATCATTCTTTATACACTTACGTGGGATGAGATGCAATGAGCATGTACTTTCCAGGTTGAATAGGAGTAAAATAAAATATGCCACCTTCCGCTGTTACTGTCGATTTAATAGGAACATGTTTATCGTTGTCTGAGTATAAGGAGATGGTAACACCTTTAGGACCAGAGACAGTACCTAAACTAATTACCTAAAAAATATAAAACGATTCATATTAATTGAACGACTTCTTTATAGTTAATTTTTGATAGATTATCAAATATATAAAATTAAATTATTTGTATCTTAAATTATTTGTACCAATAGATACAAACATAACATTCATTTTTCAGATATCTTTTTATGTTAATAACAAAAGAAGAAAAATAGTACTTAAGTAGTATTTAAATAGTACTTACACGTCCTGTAATACCAAATCCTTTAAATGTGAAGTTGATATCTTGTTTGCAATCATTTGTAACATCATCTACATTCAACGTTACTTCTGTAGGCTCAAAACTCCAGCCTCTAGGAGGATCTACCTAATGTATTAAAATATTAACAATTTTTGAAATAAAATATCTTTTATAATATATAAATATATAAATTCTGAATAATATTAATCAATTTAAGATAACAATATTGTATTTTTTCTGCAATATTGTTATCTTATTATACATCTCTAATATTCAAAACAAAAGAAATTTTGAATAATATTATAATTGTATTGAAACAAATATACCCTATAGTATTTATATAAATATGTAAAATTTATCTATCATTAAAAAAATAGAGGAGTATCACATTATAATATATATTTCTGCAGGGTTGGGTAGCAACTAGTAGCAATAGTTAAAAGTTAAGTTAAAAAGTTGAAAAGTTAATAACTTTTAACTTATGTTAGTTAATTTTAAACGTGTTAACTTTTAACTTATACTAGTTATTTTTAAATACATTAATATTAATTTATTAATTTTTTTTGTACAAGTTAAAATAATTCATTAATATTAAAGTTGTGTGAAAATAGTTGATCGTAATGCAAATATTTCATTTATCAATAAGTTTGTCGGATATGCCGATTCGCTGTTGGATAGAGAATTAACTTTTAATTTTAATGAATTAATAATTTTTTTAACTTAACTTTGGGAGAGTCAATTTTTGATTAAATAACTTTCAATGTGAACTTCTCAACCCTGTATTTCATTTTAAATATGTTTTTTCATTTTAAATATGTTATTCAGTCATATGTATAAGTATCAAGTCCAAAATGCTTAATCAATGATGTTGTGCAACAGATGATGGTGCATCTTTCCAGCTTACCTTCAACGTATATTCACCCTTGTCATACAGAGGTAGAAAATAATAGCCGGTATTAGGGGCGCACTCGATCTCATCCTTCAAACTACCAGCCTTCGCGTACCTGACGAATTTATCTTATGAATCGGTGATCCAACTATGACCAGGATAACCTCTTAAAAGGTAAGAGAATACTCACAGTTTCACGTGCACCTTCGTAAAATCGATATCGGTGTGGCTCTTTAGAAAACCTCCACATCCTAGAATATCCTCGGCGATGGAATTCGCCGATAAGGTCGCTAAGTAGGCGAAGAAAAAAATAATTTCTCGCCAACTCGAAATCATGCCAATCAGCTGCCGCATCGTTCGGGTTGTCTGCTCACACGACGTCAAGGGACAGAATGACAGATACCGAAAATTCCATCTGTCCTCCCGGAGCTTCTTTTAATCTAATTACGCAAAGTGATTCGAGTCATCGCGAATCATCGATTATAATGTAATGCTTTTGTAATTATCTGACAAACACAAGCAACGGCACCGAGGTTTTACAACGCGCATGTGTAATTTTTCTAAACGAAACAGTCTAGCCAGCTAAATTTGAGGTGCTTTTTTATAGAAGTTAAATTCGTCTCTTATCGCGGGATAAAATTATTGTCCGCTGATGTAGATGTTTATCTGTAAGCGTTTTGTAATATTTAAATATCTCGTTCGATATTTAAAATGTATCTTATAAAAAATAATGCAGTTTTAGGGATTCAAAACTCTGTGACGCCTAGAAAAATCTATTCTCTGTTCACTTTACTCTCACCAATAGAATAATTTCGAAATATTCGCAGTTTGTTACTCCATAACCATGCCAATATCGATTCACAGGAATTGATATTATAATTTAACCAAAAATTTATGCCTGTAAGTAAAAAAAAGAAAACAAAAAAATTAATCCAACAAAAAAATACATTCGATTCCAGAATAATTAATTAACTGGCTTAATTCTTTTAGATTATTAATTATTTCAGAGTAGACATTCTACGGTCATAATGGTGAAAATAGCACTGCAGATTACGTGTAGACTCGACAATATTGAGGAACTGAGGCCATCGGGATCTGAGTTCAGGTGGTGCCTGAAGTTTACTTGTTGCAACTGCGGAGAGACATCAGACAAGTGGAACTACATCTCCGCAGACGATCCGGTACGTCCAGCAGTTCGAGGCAGTGGCGTCAGTCACTTTGTGAGCAAATGCAAGCTCTGCTCCCGGGAAAACTCTATGATGATAATAGAGGACTCTATCCAGTCTTTCACCCAGGACGATCAAGGACAGTTTAAGACAATTGTCATATTCGATTGTCGAGGAATAGAACCCTCTGACTTCTCTGCGAGAGAAGGATGGGTGGCCACGGCTGTCGAGGGAGGTAAGGAGTTTGATGAGGTAGATTTGAGCGAAGGTGAATGGGAGGATTACTGCGACAAAGTTATGCAACCTGTTGGAATATACGAGATCAAACATAAGTTTGAGAGAATTAAGTAGATACATGCTTTGGATATACAGCATATACACATTTCAATTGCCTAAATTTCCTAAGAATTGCTTTCTTGTCACTTAATGATATAAAGCGACATATCTGTAGAATGTAAATATGTAAAAATTACGATTTTCACGCTTCTTTAGCATTTATTGTGCATAGATTATTAAAAATATGTATAATGTATAACGTATGAAGTATATTAATATATATATATATAAAATAATATCCTCGTTGGATTTCATTAAATTGTGTTAATCTCTGGGCTATAGACTATTTGCGATTTCCATCAATAGGCCACTCTGTGTATCTGCGTCTGTAATTAATAAATTAATATTAGAAAAATAATTAAATCTAATTTTATCAATCATATAGATAATAATTTTGTTCTATCGATTCTATAGAAAATTGCATCCTGCTGTTCATGCCTCTGTATATATATGAATGTAAGCATATCACTAAATATGCACATTTATTTGAAATAGATGCAAGTTATTTAACATGCACCATTTAAGCAAGCATAGTTTGCAAAAATGTAATAAAAATAGCATTTTTTATAACTTGAAATATTTTTTCTTTTCTTATATCGAAAATACACACTATTGGGTGATGATATCATAACGAAAATACCTTTCATTCTCTTTTATCGAGGTAAAAAGTAAAAGCAGAACCAATCTAACGACATAATATAATTTATTCATAATCATATAAAAAAAACCATTTTATTTCATAAATGGCTTAGAGTACATAAGAGATGTTGTTTGCCAACAATAATTCCATTTTTCCTCCAAGCACGTTCTTAATATGGTTGCCAACATATACCCTGCGTAAATAATCGAATGACTAGTGTGTCACTTGCGGCAAGGGCAACATTTGGAACTGTGCAGATTTTCACCGATTTTCACAGATTAATCCAGACAATAATTGCCTCTTCCAGCGCCAGACGCAAACTGTTATTGGAATGTCAATATGACCATATGAAACTCATCGAACTTATGACAACACGATATATTAATTCGTCTTACGATTATAAAAGTAAAGTATGGTTAAAAATTATGTTTTTTTTTTTTTATATATATACAGTTTCTTTTTTTCATGTATAAAACTTTCGAACAACTTTCCTCACTTAACGATAGTTAAGTCTATCGCGTTAAGACTTTCGTTCGAAGTAACTCCTGCAATTCGTCTTCACAATAAGCTATATAAACGAAAATCACGTTCTTCGAATGAAAATCATCGAGACGTACGTACGAAAATGAATTACAAATTACGATTCAGAAAAAATGGAGAGAAAAAACAATGTGTGTAACTTCGTTTACTCGACGATTGCCTAATGCACTACTAATGCTACTGCCGCTATACTTGTCTAATGCTTTCATCATTTACTACGCTTTCTAATATCTAACACAAATAAATATATTGCGCGCGCGTCTTACAATATCCGTCATTTCTCGGAGAATCTTTAACATATAAATCACATGTATAAGTAATCACTAAAAATTTTTAATCTAACAATCGATAACACTATCAGTCTATTCTCACAAAAATATCACTATGACCGAAAATATCGACGATATAACCAGAGTCTAAAATTACGAATCACAATTCAACGAATAAATAAGACAAACTTTTAAAACATTGCATTAAAAGAAATATATACTTTGTTTGCTTAAAACTAACATCAATTTGTTTGAATTGCTTAAAAACAATTTTTAGAAAAAAAAAAAAAAACAATATGTAGATACATAAATTTGTTGTGAATGCTGGAATGCTGAAATATTTGACTCTGGCTCATATGGAAGATTTGTAATCCGCTTGACGTTTGACGTAACTCGAACAATTATTCTACTAGCAAATTCAGATCCTAAAAACGCTTTAACCGTGATCCTCTAATATTACGAATATGCATCGCTGCGTGCTTTTTGATCGGTTAAACGATTCTAATCTACATTCTAGCTAAGCTATCGTCTTTGGTATACTAATCTGAGGGATGCTTACTCTATTCAGAGACAAATGTATGATCATTCACTGGAGAAAATCTCGTTTCCGGGGAGAATATCGCATAGAAATAGGAACATTATGAGTAATATGTGTAAGATAGTTATGATGTCTCTTTCGCAACGAGAAACGATTATTTTCTTGTGTGAAAAATAAGTGATGTTTACAGTTGAAGAATTGGACACAATTATGAAGGATAAGAGCATGGAGTATAGCTTTTTGCTATATATACGTGTATCATTAGTATAATATATATGATGGAAACTGCTTCTTGTATAATTATGTCCAATTAAGTTCAAAGTGGAAGAGGTGCATGCCATATATATCTGCGACAAATTAAATTGAAAGAAACGGGATCGTCGCGGAAAGGAAATCTTGATTCACATTTTGATCTGTTGAAATTTAGTCTCTACTATAATCTCCTTTACTGTTTCGTATGTCCATCGGTTTTTCCGACTTCTATATTTTATTTAATTAACCATTTATATGTGAGCTTCCATTTTTTCTATTTTTTTGAAATATTGATAAAAATTAGTCACATCCATCATAGAGATGATGATGCATATTTAACTTTTTACTTAATGAATTTATACATATGGGAAATTTATTTATCTTGATGAGGATCAAACAGTCAACTAAACAAGTCAGTATCACTATGTCAGTCAGTGCAACCTTTCCCCAACTACGTTTCAATCAGGATTGGGCCATATTCATTGGGCATGTATCATGTTTAACATTTTCCTAATGTCTAAAATGGGATATAACCTTATATAAGTTTTAAATTGTGCCTATCCGCTACTAGTATTTCAGCTAAATCCATGAGTCTCTAAATCGGTTAGATGGATATACGCTAAATATTTATGCGCTTTTTTTGATATTGATATATTATTCGTTCGCATGACTTACTTTTGACGTTTTTTTACGATTTTTCACTATGTTGCTTTGTTCTAAAGCATATCAAAGACAGACACCCGTGAATAGGCCCGTTAGATGTTGAGTAGTATAAGCTCAATCCTAGAACGCTAATGGGGACTGTCAAGGTCTAGTGCAATTTTAAACTAGTACATATTATCCCTTTGTTTTTTTTCTTTCGTAGCTATTGCAAATTTCGTAATAACATACTAATGATTGATATAACATTACATTTCGCATTATATTTATTTAAAAAAAAATGTCAATTATAGTAATATTAATATATAGCGGTAATAATATTAATTGCTATTATATGATTATTTAGTAATATGTTATTATCAATAACTCCACATTAGCGTTTCAGGACGAATCTCGTGTATTCGACGATACGTGAGAATTTCTCATTTCTTTTTCATTTTAGAAAATTTCAGAGTGAGCACACTACACGAC